CGCACAGCATATAGCTGCTGCTGCTGCAATTGCTATTGCTCGGGCTTTGACTAGAGAATGACCAATTGTCCAACTTGCACAAGCAGCTGGCGCATGTTAAAATAAAGCCGAAAGCCCAGAGAGAGAGAACAAGACTCGCAGCGGCCGTTAAGTACCGCAAAAATACAAAGAGGCGCGAGAAATAATGAAAAATAACGAGTATATATAGAGAGAGAGACGAGTTGAAGAGGAGGGTCGGGGCGCGCGCGAAATCGCCTATAGCTGTGCGCGCGCGAGCTGCGAGGCAAATAAATGAAAGAGAGAGAGAGACGAACTTTTGGCCGTGTTCACAAGCCGAGCGTGCGGAAAAAGCCTCGACCGAATATATATATGGAGGTAGATAATCAGCCTGCGCCGAAGCCTCTGGCAAGTTCCCGCACTAAACGGGGACTTAATTCAATTTAAGACTTGTACCAGACGCGCGCGCGCGCGCCCAGGCTATTGGCAAATCACCGATGAATCTACTATATCTATCGGCTCTTCTCGACCGATTGCCTTTTTGCTTTCCTTGCCTGCCTGCCTCTCTATTCCTCTCCCTCCCCCCTCCCTCTCCCTCTCTCTCTTCTTTCATCGAGAAACTTTTCTGTGCACATTTTCTGCCTCTTTTTTGTGCACAGCTCAACACGGCTGCAGGCGCAACGGCAACGCACACACACACGCGCGCGAATATGTATGTATTCGCGTGTATGTATATACATTATAAACTTACAACAAGCGCGACGTACGTATATACAAAGTGAGCGCGTGTACCGCGTCTCTTGACTTGCCCGACTGAATTCCAATGGAGTCGTGTGCGTGCGCGCGCGCGTGTGTGTAGGATAGAAAGCTCGCGCGCGCGCAAGCTCCTCGTCGGAAAGTATATACACACACACACGCCTATAGTGTACGCGCCCACGCACACGTGCGCATACATGTTTGTGCACACAACTAGAGAGAGAGAGAGAGAGAGGAGCGCTTTGCACTATCAAAGGTATCTATTTATTTGCTCTTAGAGAAACTTGTCTACCTACCGCCGCCGCCACCGCCGCCGACGACGTCGTGCAGACTTTGCGCGCAATGTACACGAGCTTTGATAATGTAACCGATGTTTATGCCTCGTACGTACCCGTCTTTTGTCGGCGAGCGAGCTACTCAGTGCAGAGCGAGCAAGCTCCTCTCGACAACTACTACTACTACTACTACTACTACTTGCGTTTCAGCGGCACACAACTTTATACATATGATATTTCGGAAAATTATGTAAGCAGCTTTGCACGGAATCAATTTGTACTTGCAGCAGTTATATAGCGTTAGCAGCAGCCCGACGAGTGGTCCCTTTTTCTCACTCTGTATATAGCCCACCCATTGTTACGAACGAGGGAATTGCCTCGTCGATGAAAATTACCGGAGGCAAAAATTGCTCTTCCCTCCCTCCTTTTATCGTCCCGATGCTCGATTTCGCGCGAGCGCTAATCTCTCCCTCTCCCCCCTCTCTGCCTGGCTGCAGCAAACATTATTATGCCAGCTATGGCACCGTGTGTATATACGCGTATACATAATGCGCGTGCGGGAGGTGGGCAGTACCAGCAGCGGCATCGTCGTCGAAATGTATCGAGCATTTTCTCGAATTTCCCGGTGCCATTTGCAGTGCACTCCTGTATAGCGTGTCCGCCCGAGCGCGTGCGCCTTTTCGCGTACTACTACTACTGCTGCTGCTGCTCATCGTCGTATTTTAGCCGCTGCGTTGCACGCATCCATTTACTTGATTGCCCGGTACTTCCGCTATTAACGACCCAACGAGCCCTCGTAGTCCTTACGGTATTTTTATCTCGCTGCCGCCGCCGCCGACGATGCTATGAGGCGAGGCCGTAGCCCATTACGCGTGGCGAGCGCGCGAGCTGCCTCGTTTTTTTTTCTCCTGCGTTTTGAGCCTCGCAACAACAACATCATCGTCATTGGTATGCGCGCGCGTACAGATCGCGGTGGATGTTATTAATTTTGCTTCTTTTCGATTGAAAAGTATGCTTTGCGTTTGCCCCGTGCGTTGCTACAAAGCTCACTTTTTCCTTTTCTCCTCTGAACGAAAGCTCGCTCGCAAGCTCTCTTTCTCTCTCACCGAGTTTCGAGGAGATAATTGATAAAGATGCGTGTAATGGAAAAATTCCAGTAATTGCTACCAGCAGGGAAGCGTATTAGCGACGTTCACGAGCGAGGGGAGGCGCGCGTGCTCGTTGATTCGATACGCTCGCTGAATGTAAAAAAAAGGGCCAAATATAAAGAGTATATAAATCTGTTTGACTGATGCTGCTTCTATATTAGCTTCAATTTCTTCTCTTGCGAGAGTCAAAGTGCTGCCCTAACACGCGTCACGGGCACGGAATATCGAGTCTTGCGAACGATATGACATTGACAATTTTTCTGCTTTATTTTTTTTCCCCCGCTTATACTTTGATTCCTAAAAGTCAGAAAGTATTCATTAGTATTGGACCCGAAGCCGCGCGGGGCTTCAATTTTAATGGCGCCAGTCTAGACGAGTCATTTTCGCTAATTTCTCTTTATTCTTTAATCGTTAATTATTCAATAAGTGTCACTCCGGCATAAGTCATAATTGACAAATAAGCGTATCATAAAAAATTGAGAGGGGTGGCCGATGCGTTTTTTGTATCGCTCCCTATCAAAACCTCGAACTTATATATGACACTATGATTAGCAGCTTTCAAGCGAGAGCTTGCGGAGACGGGAAAGCATTCCTTCGAATTTTATCCACAATCAAGAAGAGAGAGAGAGAGAGAGATAGTCTAGGGGGAGAGATCGAGGAAAGGAATGCGTCGCTATATATCTATAGGTTTCTGCTAGAGCGCGCCCAATCCAAGAAGACGAAAGTGGACCGAGTACTTTAATAGGATTGGCCGATGGGTGCAAAAACGAGAGATTTCAGCTCACTCTCTCGGATGGACGGGGGAGGAAAGGATGAAAACCTCAGGCTGGCAGAGCCTGGCGGAGAGTGTGCGGCGCAGTCGAATCGGGCCGGCAGACGTCACGAGAAAAGAAAAAGTGAGCTGGCTGCGGCTGGCTGGCTGCGGGGGAAGAAAAAAAAAATAGAGAAAAAAATAAAATAAAAGAAAGAGTCACCGCCGCCGCCCGTGGGATTTGTCAGCAAGTGAATGCGATGCGCGCCGATCAGGGCGAATTTTCGGAATGCATCGCATTCGTCGGCGGCTACGGCGTTGAGGGAGGGGGTGCGGTACGGTGCGGTGAAGAAGGACGAACGAACGAACGAACTTTTCGGGCTAGCTTTCAAACTGTAATCACGGAAAGGAAGAATGGCAAGCTGTATAATCATCCGGAGACTTTAGGCTTTGTGGGAATAGGCGAAGGAAATAACGACGTCGACGAGGAAAAGAGTCGCTAGGCTAAAAAATCACGAGATAGAGAGAGAGAGAGAGAGAGAGAGAGAGAGAGGGAGGGAGGGTTGAGTCACTGGCAGCAAAAAAAAATGAATAGTCCATTAAAGATATGGAGCGCGATCTCTCCAACGAAGCACGCATTTAAAAGTATAATTCTGCCAGCTCGACTATTATCTCGAGCTATATCGTGTGTACCGAGCCGCGCGACTCACGCGTAATAACGCAGTCTCTCGTCCTCGTCATCGTCTGTGTGTGTGTGTGTGTGTGTGTGAGTGTGTCAGTGTAGCGATGGGCGACGATTTTACACTTGATCGCGATTGTACCTCGGGCAACAACTCGGCAATTGGGTCACGTTTGAAACATTTCAGCGTGTATATAAGCTATGTATGTATGTGCAGCGACGATGCTCGGAGCGATTTAGTACGGGGCGCGCTCGACGCAACGCCTAATTATATATAGAATGAGCAAATTGATCGGGACGGTATTTCCAAGTATTTCCATTAATAAATAACGCGCGAGAGGTGCGAGTTTTGCGCGACTCGTTGGCTCTCTCCGTGATAAAGAGCGAGTTAAAGATGAAGAGCTTATAGCCGAAATATAAGTATGACGCAAACCGAGTGTAATAAACGAAGCAACATCCAAGCCTCTTGAATGTTGAGTTAGCAACATTCCTCATTAGCAAGTGTAAATCGAAGTACGAGATCGCGTTAGCCAGATTCTAGAGTGTTCCACTCGATGTCGTGCCTTAACATTGGTCTTTGCAACATTCTTACTGCTTATTTGTCTTATTAAAAGTTTTCCGAGTAACTTATACCGGCATTAATGATAAAGTACTTCGATGGGCGTTCAATCGAGTGAAGTTTATTTTATTACACACGTGCTTGAACTATAGTTGAGCCGTGTCACGCATTATCGATCACGCGTAAAACATATAATTCGGAACAAAATTGGATTTTATTTATAGAAAAATTATAAATTTTACGCCACACACATCTTTCATGTATGCATCACAGGCCATTCATTTAAATCTAACGATCAATCACAACACATTTTTTTCACAATTGATGGATTGACTGTTTTAGCTATTTTACTATTCCCTAAAGCTCTCATGACTAATTCAACTTCATTTTTAGTGTCACATGTTATACCATTATTATATGTACTTTATCGATAAGTTCATAAATATATTTCTGTGTAGAGTTACTGTTTCTCCGCATATGTGTGAGCCAATTGTGCGCCTGGACGAATGACTTTTTCACGACAGTTTTGGTATTGTTTTCATGATATGCGAATGCCTACCGCGTACATACATCACAGTACACATAACTGCGTACGACCAGTCGATGGTGGTGGGGGAAAGTATCGCCTAGAAGCTATCACAATCGCGGGATCTCCTCGCTAACTAGTGCTAAGCAGTGCGTTAAGTCGCAAACAAAGAGCTAAATTCTCGAGCAAGTGTTTATAAATTGGTGAATTCAAGGTTACGCGTTGATTACTCGAGGCGTTTAACCTCGAAATTTTTTTTCGATGTATATCGTGAACAATCTACAGTGAATACCCATAATTAAGCGAGTGATGGAAAGTAGAGAGAATACAATCAGGTATAATATTTTTTGTGAGTACTATAATATTTTTAGAAGCAATCGCTTCATTAAACTTGATTATTATATCCAGGGTGAAGGAAGAGCCAAACCATAATTCGCGAGATGCAGGTGACGATCATGTTTTCCATCCGGTGGACTCCATTAAAACCGAAAACGTTGAGACTTTGCCGTTTCATGAACTATCGGTGAGTTCAATGTTTTTAATCATGTTCTGTTTATCCACTAATAGAGTTTTGATTTTAGGCAAAATACGAGAATGAAGCTTTGGCGTCACAAGAGAGGTTAGATGAAAAAATTTTTATAGATTTGGAGTGCAAAAATGTAAAACCCGAACAGACGTCTCTATCGACATGCATCTGCAAATCTGAATATCGAACCAATTCCATGAATGAAAAATGTCTAATAATTTTGATAAAAAAAGGATTTGATTATGATAATAATCGTCAGTTTCATAAATGTAATATATGCCACAAGACATTTTCATGCAAAGGTGATCTCAAGTCTCACATAAATGTGATACATGCTCGCATCAAATCATTTGAATGTTATATATGTTGCGAAACGTTTGGATACAAATATACCCTCAAAAATCACATAAAGGCCCATCATATTCGTAGCAAACCGTTCGAATGTGAGATATGTCACAAGTCATTTAGCCGTAAATATAACTTGAAAATTCACAAAATCACTGTACATGATTGTAGTAAACTCTTCGATTGTGAAATTTGTCACAAATCATTTGGATACCAGTATAAACTCAAAACGCACATAAATACAGTGCATAACCGAAGCAAACCTTTCGAATGTGAGATTTGTCACAAATCATTTGGACTCAAAACTCACCTTCAGCGTCACATTAAAGCAGTACATGAACGTAGCAAACCCTTTGAGTGTGATATTTGTCACAAACCATTTTCTTCCAAGGCTTCCGTAAATATTCACATTATTTCAATACATAATCGTAGCAAACCATTTGAATGTGAAATTTGTCACAAATCATTTGGACAAAAAGGTCACCTTAAATCTCACATAAATTCAGTACATAATCTTATGAAACCTTTCGAGTGTGAGATTTGCCACAAACCATTTGGACTCAAAACTCACCTTCAGCGTCACATTAAAGCAGTACATGATCGTAGCAAACCATTTGAATGTGAGATTTGTCACAAATCATTTGGATACAACAGTCACCTCAAACTTCACATCGATGTAGTACATAATCAGAGCAAACCCTTCGACTGTGAGATTTGTCATAAATCATTTGGAATAAAAGGTTACCTTAAATCTCACATAAATTTAGTACACAATCGGAGCAAACCTTTCGAATGTGAAATTTGTCATAAATCATTTGGACAAAAAAGTTACCTCAAAATTCACATCAATTCAGTTCATGATCGTAAAAAATCCTTCGAGTGTGAGATCTGTCGCAGGTCATTTTCATGTAAAGCTGGCCTTGATAAACACATAAATACAGTACATGATCGTAGCAAAGCATTTGAATGTGAGATTTGTCACAAATCATTTGGACAAAAAGGTCACCTTAAATCTCACATAAATTCAGTACATAATCTTATGAAACCTTTCGAGTGTGATATTTGTCATAAATCATTTGGACAAAAAAGTCACCTTAAAGATCACATTTATGTAGTACATTATCAGATTAATCTCCTCGAGTGTGAGATTTGTCCCAAATCATTTGGCACTAAGAGTTGTACTAATAAATACATAAATACAGAACATAATCAGAACAAACCTTTTGTCAGAAGTCATTTGGAGAAAAAAGTAAGCTTAAAAAACATGTAAAGGTAGTACATGACCGTAGAAACTCCCTCGATTGTTAGACAAAAAATTAATCTCAAAAAATACGTAAATTCAGTTTATGATTATGATAAAACATCGAATTTAAAAATTATTCTGAGACATTTGAATCCAATGGTATATCCAAACTGACTAATGAAAATTATCTAGTGCGCCTATTGCGTTAGAGCACACATCAGTGTGTCCAAAGCCAATTCTATCGGGCTATAATTACAGCGCTAAAGAAATCTTGTCAATTTTTCTCAAAAATATAAAATCTAATTTGTACTTCAATTATATTCATCAATAAAAATTGAAAAAATCAGAAGAAACATTATAGCGACTCAATTTATTAATCGCATCATCATCCATGCAGCGGATCATTTCGATATTCAAATAGCAAATTTCTATCGGATTTTTTTCCAAGGAATCCGATATACGTCACAGATTCTCGATAACTCTTATCAATTTCGAACGAAAATGAAAAGAGAGTTAAGGAACTCGATATCGCGATCGCAAGTAGCATCGAGACGAATACAAGAAAATAACGACTGCGAAATAACGCGAAAGCTCGAAAGCCGTCATTATTGAAAAGCTATATATACCTCGCGTATGCAATCTCGTACGTGAGTTTTCATCGGTCTCATAAGCTCTCCTCGCTGTTATTATCGTGAAAAGGCACATGCTCGCAAAGTATATATGTGTATAATATACCACGGAAGCGCCTGCATCGGACACAAACCGTTCCGTTCTCAGCGAAATAATAATTGTCCGCAGTCGGTTAATTTCAATTTCTTTGCGTCGAGAGCCGAGGCTACGGCAACGGCCTCGTAATATATTTTCAGCCTAAGATACGGCGGCTTTTTTGTGCCCTAATGTTTTTTGCCTTCAAAGAAACGAGCTCGCTGCCGAGATATTCTTCTCGCTTCTTTTCTTTCTGGCTTTGGCTTTTTCTCTCTCTCTCTCTCTCTCTCTCTCTCTCTTGCAGCCAAGCGATTTCCATCAGCTCGACTATATAAAAACAAACACTTGAGCGCAGCAGCAACAGCAGCCTGCGCATAAGCCCCCCCTCTGCCCCACCGCAACAGTGTTAAAAGCTCTAAGCGTTATACGAAGCGTCCGGTAAAATATTCACTTGTATTTAGCGTTTAAAAAGAATAATTCGGACGGCGCTATGTACGTGTGCGTAGCGTAGCAGGGGTGTGGGTAGTAGGAGCAGCAGCAGCAGCAGCGACGTTACACTTTTGTAGGTCGTTTTCTCTCGGCTGCCATGCACCGTCGACTTTCTCGTTAGGACTACAGGACGTTATACTGCCAGCAGCAGCAGCAAAGCTCGGCTCAATGGGGATTAGCTCGGGAGCTTGGTAGCTCGTCGACCCTTGGATCCCGAGTATATATACAGATATATACAACGTATACACAGTTACGAGCGAGGCGGAGAGAGAGAGAACGCAGAACTACTTTGGGGCTGCTGCTGCTGCTGCTGCTGCTGCCGAGAGCTGTCTTTGAAGTTTTAGGGGATACAGTCGCGTTTATATTGTCGGCTCAGGGTAACGAATTCATTAATTCGTTTTTCATTAGTTTTGCTCGCGCGCGATAATATAATGCGCGCGAAATAACGCCCCCGCCTCGCGAGCAAAAGCGTTAAAAGAAACGACTTTATTAAATAAAAAAATCGTGTCATATTCCGGTGTGCGCACGAGCTTGTCTATATATTGCGAGCTGCGCGTCTTATATAAGCCTTGCCTTGGTTGCGGAGGTGTATATCAAACACACACATACATCGACACATTTACGCATTCATAGACCGAGACGCGCGCTCCAAGACTCGGCAGCCGCTGTATATACGTGTGTAAAACTCCTTAATTAAGTGCGCTTAATTAAACAGCGAAAGGACCAACTGCACGGATTTAATTAATTATTTCATAAACGCCGTTCGCGCTGGTACACATTTTTCACTTATATATATTCGGTAGCTTTATATATAGGGCACTCGTGTGCGCGCACGTACGTTACGTTATATTATATACAAGTCGCGAGCGTGTATATAGCACACGGTACAGTGCAAAAGGGGTGAAGGGGAGGCTCTCGTTTGTACGTATATACACGCAGGTACGTACGAGTAGTATAAGCGAAGCTTAAAGGCACTGCGTCGTGTTACAGAGAGAGACTAGGCACAAAACTAGCTGCGCACTTGGAAAAGGGTGAGTTATCCAACTACTACTACTACTACTACTACTACACATAGCATCGCGCACACACTACAATATATGGAATGACACTCGACAACTTTTCGAGTGCGCCTAGCACTGGCAGCGGCAGCGTCACTCGTGTGCATTGGCTGCTGCTGCTACTCTCCTGCGTCGTCGTCGTCGTCGCTCACCCTCGAGTAAGAGAGACGTATAAGATAACCGATAGGTACGTGCGTTGTAGCAGCAGCAGCCTAGGCGTGAGTGTGTTCCTTAGTATAGTGAGGGGGTAGGTGCTCCAGGAGCGAAGATGTGTGTACAAGGAGCTCGTAGAGAATAAAATACGTGCGTTTGCCAGTAGTGTACGCCTGCAGTCGTCTCGCTCGCTCGCTCTTGGACATTAATATTACCGATGTGACTTCTCATTTTCTTCCTCGGCTGCCCTCGCCTCCTCCCACCCTCTTATCCTTCTTTATGCACCACAGCGTCGCGTACGTATATATACGCGTTTCGCGCTCGCGCGACGTCATTAATTATTAATGTCACGCGAGAGATGGGGGATGGGGGGGTAGTAGCAGCGAGCTTTCGAAAATATACAGAAAGAAGAGCTCACGCCCTGTGTGCCGCGCCCCGCGGTACGTACGATAAATCACGGCCGCGCGTGTTTTTGTTGCGAGAGATTTTTCATTTTTCGAACCAAGCCGCGCACACATATACACACACGTACCTTTATGACTCGTGCTGCAGCGCGTAGCTATATTGGAATGTCCGTATGAGCTGTTGCATAATTCAGCTATTAGCAGTTTACGGCGCGCGCGCGCGCGCAAGGGGTCAAAAGGAGTGAGTCGTTTGAAATGAGCCGCTCGACGTATTTTCCCCCGCGCATGTTTACACAGCTTATAAGCGAGTTCGCCGCGCGTAAAAAGCGAGAGCTGCAAATCTATTATGAAGCGAGCATATATATGTGTAAAAATTTCGTTCGGAAACGAGCCTGACTCTCTCCTTCTCTTTCTCTGTGTGTAAAGCCTCGACGACGACTGCCGACGCGACGATAATATTTCTTCTCCACCACCACCACCACCACTACCACTACCGACAAGAGAAAGAAAGAGAGCGCATAATGGCTCTCGAAAAAGTAACGAGCAAATATCAAAAAGAAGCGGGGGGGGATTGAAAAAATAAAGTAAAGAAGAAAAAAGAGAGAGAGAGAGAGAGAGAGAGAGAACTGCAGTGCAAAAAGAGGCCGGGACACGCGTGGAGCTCTCTGCACGGCCCGAAAAACGTACGGGGGAATGTGGAAGCGACGGCAACGGCGGCGTGCGAGAGAAAAGAGGCGTTCGACTAGCAAAAAAGGCTCTCTCGTAAATCTTCTGGACCGTACCACACACACACACACAGACACACTAGCAGCTATTCTCTCCCTTCCTCCTACATCCCCTCGCGCTTTAAAACCCTCCCCCTCACTTTCCCGCTGAGCTGCCTGCCTGCCTGCCTGCCTCTCTAGTCCGAAGAGATAGAGCTTGATGCGGTAGCGATAAAACTTCTAAGCGCTGCACATACGCACACACATGCATGCAGGCCGCTCTCATCTCTGGTCGACTATATGTAAATCGAATGCAAAAGGCTGCCAGCTTGTGTGTGTGCGAGTGCATGCGCAGGACGTATTGTAGAGCGTCTCGCGTCGTCGTAAAGCGTCTCGGTTGCACCGCTGCAGGAGCAGCGGGGATTGATAAAAAAACACACACACACAGAAACGTTCGATTTATTATTCCGACTCGCTCGCGACGCTTTTTCGAGAGGCGTATGTCGTGCAGTATGGACGCGGATGACCCCCGCGCTGAAAAAAAATTACCAAGTAATTATATATAAATCTCGTGAACTGGTTGTCGGCCGTTGACTGAGCCAGAATCGATATTTATCTCCTCCCGCCCCCGCTGAGGCCGCGCGTCACAGTGGCTGCGCTCGCTCGACGTCGTTTTCCGTGTTGTTTTGTCACTTCGACATGGACTCTTTAATTTTTCGAGCCCGTCGAGTGTTATGTACGCCTCGTCGTCGTCATTGATTTACTTGCATCGATATAATTGCCAGCCATTAATCACATAAGCCTTCGGCCAGACGCGTGTATGCCTCGACACCTTTATGAAAGCTCGCAAAAAAAAACGAGAATATACGTATATATACGTCGGTATATACATAAAAAGCGAAGCTCGCGCGTCAGCAATTCTCGCGGCCGAGAGCACAATGTGAAATATATATTCGCTACAAAAATGTCAAGATCCGCGCGATCGGTCGGCTCGATTATATTTTCTGACAATGGCACAAAATGAAAATAAAATTAAATTCGCCGGTGCGATAGCTAGCTGGCTAGCTAGCTGAAGCGCTCGAATAAAAATAAAGCAAAGTTAAAGAAAGAAAAAAAAAGAGAGAACGAACGAGCCGAATAATCGGAACGGCTGGTTTTCGGTCGATACAGCGGCTGCACGGTGCGTATGAAATTTGTCGTCGTGCTCGCGAGAGCGTAGAAATTCTTTAAATAACGCTATATCTACTGCGAGCTACTGTACTCTTTTACTCGGCAAACTTGGGGCGCATAGACACCGAGAGACTCTTTGCACGGCACACATATACGCAGTTCGCGCGGCAAAGTTTCCCGCACGCGCATCCGAAGATAAAATAATAATACTCTTAAAGTAATCCGACAAATTGATGGAAAATATGAGGATTTGTTTTGCAGCAGCAGCAGCAGCGGCACACACGCACGCACGTGTATCGCGCGGAATCCCTTTTTTATCGCTGGCTTCAAACTTTATCTGCGCGATAACTCGAGTATTTACCAGTCTCGTGTGCGGCTGTTCTTTTGTTTTTGTTTTCTCTCGCTTTTTTTCTCTTTCTTCCTTTCTTTCTTTTTTTTTTTGTTCGCCGCTGCAACAACACACCATTGTTTATGGAGAGTGAATTTATCCC